TATATGTATAATATATCCGCATCAAACTATCAAGGTGAAACACTGCCGAACCAATAGTAAACACAGAAAACAAGATGCATTTTTGCCTGCCTTGCACCCAGAGTAGAGATGCTGGGGAGGCAAAAGATCTACAGAATTCAGGAGTGCTTTTCAGGAACATGTGGGAAAGCTAAGGTTTTAGGGAACATCCTGCTGAAAGACAATGATTCTGTGAGACATTCAGGAGAGGCTTCCCCAATGACAGCAACATAGAAATATGAGAAAGAGATCATCAATTGTAGAATCCTGTTGTGTGACACATAGCTGGACCAAGCAAACCAATCAGCAAATATGAAAAGTTCTACGGGATTGAGATTACAAGCCAAGGGTTTGTTTTAAAGTAAAAGTATCAAACAGAGATGTAAGGAATACACAACAGTCCTTGTTGATGCAGAAGGTATATCTCACAGTTCATCAGAAGACAGACTGCATAGAATATGAATGATGTTCTCTGCTGTGCAAATGTGACTTACAGGAAACTCTAACAAACACACTCTAAACTGTGGCTTGTGTGAGTTACCTCTATCGTTGCTACAAGAAAATAACTGTGAAAGCAACTTAAAGAAGTTGTGGTGGATACTTCAAACTGTCCACTAGACACAAGCTAGAATCACCTGGGAAGAGAGTCTCAGTGTGGGACTAGATGCTGTCAAGCAGCTGGGCCTTGGATGACTGCCTTGGTTGTTGACTTAAGTGGGAGGACCCAACCCACTGTAAATGCCACCATTTTCCAGGCATGCACTCCCGGACTGTATCAAGTGCAGAGAGTAAGCAGATCACCAACAGGCTTATGTGTGTCTATTTCTGTCTGATTTTTGACGATGGTTGTGACATGATAGCGGTGTCAAGTTCATGCCTTGACTGCCCTACAATGATAGATCAGCAATTATGAGCTAAATTAAACCCTTTCCGTCCCAGGTTTCTTTGGGTGAGAGTATTTCATCACAGCAACAGAAATGAAATTAAAACAGGGGAGTTTATCTTTGCTCATAGTTTCAGGATACAGGGCATCATGGAGTGGAGGGATTCCTGACATCAGGAGGTTCATGAAGCTGCTCACATTACATCCACTGTCAGGAAGCAGAGACGAATTCTGTCTCAGAAGTGTGAATGGTGCTCAGTCAGATCTGTCCATGTTGTTCCATCCAGGAGAACAACCTGATATGGCCCACATTTAAGATGGGTCTTCCTCCGTCAATTAGCCTAATGAAGATAATTCCTCCCAGACATGCCTAGACACTTGTCTCTTCAGTGATCCTAGGTCCCATCAGATTGACAATCAATGTTAGCCAACACACAGTGTATCGTTCAAGGTACCTACATTTTAACTGATGCCTTGTGTCCTGGGTCATCACATCAATTCTAGTGCAAACAAAATCCCTGACTGTATCTTTTATCATGTGATGGACACGTGAGCAATATTTTTTTTTAAATTTGCTTCAATGTTAACATTTTCTCCTCAGTTGAGTCTTTTGCTTTTGACATTTTTATGCCAAGAATTCATAGATGATAGATTTAAAAATATTTATTATCTTTATGTGTATGATGTGAATGGACATTACATACCTGCATGTATGTAAGTGCACCTGTGTCATGCAGTGCTATGAGGACAGAAGATGATGTGTTGGATTCCCCTTGAACTGGAGTTACAGATGGTTTTGAGCCATCATGTTGGTCCTGGGATTTGAACCCAGGTCCTCTGCAAGAGCAGCCAGTACTCTTAACCTCTGAGCCATGTCTCCAGCCTCTGACAATGGATTTTCATAGATGCTGCTTATTGTGTTGAAAAGTGTCTGCCTACAGTGCGATAAATAAACATTGGCATTAGTGGCTTTTGGGGGCAGGGCATCTTCTATGTGTCGTAAGGAGCTATCCTTTGCTCTGTATGCTCTCTCTGGGGTTTCCCTGACCTCTACCCTCTAGATACTTGTAGCATCCTGACTGCACACCAAACATAACAATCACAAATGACCACAGATATTACGAAATAATCCCTGAGGCATGAAATTGCCCCGTGGCAGGCAGCTATGAATACAGAGTGCCTGGATACATTATCGTTCTCTGTTAAGTTCAACTTGTTTTACAGGTTTTTTTTTTTTCCTTTTCCTATGCTATACTTTCTTCAACTGTAAGAGAATTTAATGGTGGTGGAGAGATGCCTCAGTTAAGATAACTTGCTGCTCTAGTAGAGGATACAACTTTTGTTCCTAGCACTGAAGTTGTATAGCCCACAATCATCCGTATCTTCAGTGTGAGGGAATTGGATGCTCTCTTCTGGCCTCTTCAAGCACTGAATGCACATGTACGTACACATGCATTCACATAAATAAAAATAAATCTTAAAATAGAACTTAACATGCTACATGCTCACCTGAAACCTATGAGCATGATTAAATGAATGATTCTGCCTTCTTTTCCTCTTAGCCATGGTAACACAGGACAGTCCTCACGGAGCAGGGTGCATGCCCTGGATTTCTCAACTTGGCACTACTCTAGAGAAAGTGGTTGTGGAATACACCAGGCCATATTAACATAAGGTTCCCTCTACCTGTCCCCTTCATGTGACAGCCTGATGATTTTATTTATTGACTTATTCATTAAAGGGATTCTATTTTTGTTTGAATGACTGGAGGTTGGTAAGATCACCTGCAAAGTAATGCAATATTTCTACCAAGTATTCACAGGAGCACAGTGAAGACAAATCCCAGGCCAATTAACTTGCATGTATTAAAGGAGAGCACTGAAACTTACTCAGCTGTCTGTCTTTTATCACTGGGAGACTTTTTATTTCAGTTCCATCTGTCTACCAGTCTCACAGCTGAACACCGAGATTTGAACTTCTTTCTTCTCAGCCCTGGAGGCTCTGTCCAGCCCCAGCTCACTGTGATTTCATGGCCCAATAGGACCTGTCTTTAAGAGGAAGTCAGCAGTCACGTACAAAGTCAGGTGAGGTGTTACAGTTTGCTTGTGAGCAACTAATGTAGCGTAGAATTCTTCACAGTGAGATACAAGAGATGCAGCTTATTCTCTCTGCTTTGTAGAAAAAGTTTTGCACTCAGGAAACACGTGGGTTAAGTTAAATGCTGAAAGTTGCAGGGAAACTTTATTGTCAAGCCGCAAGCTAGAAATCAGTTCACATGTTCAAGGTACAGTAGGCAGTTTCTTTGAAGCAAGCACAGTTTAGTCAGTAGTCAAACTGTCAAACAGGGTTTGTAAACATGAGAGTCCTGTGTGTGTTTGAAAATGTGTGTGTGTGTGTGTGTGTGTGTGTGTGTGTGTGTGTGTGTGTTGCATGTCTGTAAATGCACGCATATCCTGCAATGCCTGC